CTCCCTGCTGCCCTCCCGGCTCCCCTAGGCAGCGGGAGGTGCATGGAGAAGACCTGGGGCTCAGTGGGGCCTGGACAGGGAGTGGTGTGTCTTGTCTTCATGAGCCGCAGCAACGACTCCAAGCTGGGGCGGCCGACACGGTGGAGGGGAGGGATGTGCCATCCAGAAGGACCTTGACAGGCTGGCGTGGTGGTCATGAGGTTCAACAAAATGAAGTGCAAGATACTACATCTGAGTCGTGGTAGTCCCAGGCACACCTACAGGTTGGGTGGGGAAGTAATCGAGAGCAGCAGTGCGGAGATAGACTTGGGGGTGACGATAGATGAGAAACTTACAATGAGCCAGCAGCGTGCACTTGCAGGTGAGAAAACCAACCAAATCCTGGGCTGCACCAAAAGAAGTGTGACCAGCAGGTCAAAGGAGGTGATTCTCCCCCTCTGCTCTGCTGTCATGAGACCCCACCTAGGACATGGAACTGTAGGAGCAAGTCCAGAGGAGGCCACGAGGCTGATAAGAGGACTGGAGCATCTCCCCTGTGAGGACAGGCAGAGGAAGTTGGGGCTGTTCAGCCTGAAGAGGAGAAGATCGCACTGAGACCTCATAGCAGCCTATCAGTATCTGAAGGGGCCTACAAGAAAGCCTAAGAGGGACTCTTTGTTAGGAGCTGCCGTGACAGGACAAGGGGCAATGAGTACAAATTGAAAGAGGGCAAATTTAGGTTAGATATTAGGAATAAGTTTTTTACTCTGAGGGTGATGAGACACTGTAACAGGTTGCCCAGGGAGCTAGTAGAAGCCCCTCTATGATGAAGGCTTGAGCAGCTTGGTCTAGTGGGGAGGAGTCCCTGCCCATGGCAGGGGGGTTGGGACTAAATGATCTATAAGGTCTATCCCAGCCCCTAAAAATTCTATGATTCCAGGAGGTCCTGGATGCAAGTGCAGCTTGATGTGGAGGAGAGAGGGAGAAGGCACGTGGCTTGCAAAGGACCAGCACGCAGGATATGGCTGTGAAATCGATGCTCTCAGGCACATACTGTGGTTCTCAGGGATGTCTTGTGCAGGGCCAAGAGTTGGACCCGATGATCCTTGTGGGTCTCTTCCAACTCCAAATGTTCTGTGATTCTATGAAATCACATGTATGCAAACAAATAATTAACACCTTCTCTTGTCCTGTCTCTCCTGGTTGCGCTAGGTGTCTGCGTGCATTCCTGTTCTTAGACTGGCCAGAACCCGTAAGAAGGTTTTGTTTTACTGTCACTTTCCTGATCAGCTCCTGACCAAGAGAGAGTCTTTCCTGAAGCGCCTCTACAGAATACCACTCGACTGGCTGGAAGAGTACACCACTGGCATGGCAGACTGTATTGTTGTGAACAGCAAGTTTACTGCCGGTGTGTTCAAAGACACATTTAAGTCCCTAACTCACATAAACCCAGATGTCCTCTACCCATCCCTCAACATCAGTAGCTTCGAAACGATCATTCCTGCAGACATAGCTGACCTGATACCAAAAAAGAAAAAGTTCTTGTTTCTTTCCATTAATAGATATGAGAGAAAAAAGAATTTAGCTTTGGCTCTTGAAGCCTTGCATGAGCTTCGAGGAAGACTTGATTCGCACCAGTGGAATGAAGTTCACCTGGTTATGGCAGGTGGCTATGATAAGCGAGTTCTGGAAAACGTGGAGCACTACGAAGAGCTGAGGAGACTTGCAGCCAAGCTTAACATTAATGACTGTGTGACTTTCTTGAGATCATTCTCAGACGAACAGAAAATCTCTCTTCTCGGCAACTCTGTATGTGTGCTTTATACACCAAGCAATGAACATTTTGGCATTGTCCCTTTAGAGGCAATGTATATGAGATGTCCAGTTATAGCAGTTAATTCAGGTGGTCCTTTAGAATCAATCTTGCATAATGTTACAGGATTTTTGTGTGATCCTCTGCCAACCCAATTCGCTGAGGCCATGGAAAAAATTGTGAGAGATCCTCTCTTGAAGGACACAATGGGAGCTGCTGGGAGAATGAGAGTTATGGAAAAGTTTTCCTCAGAAGCATTCTCAGAACAGCTGTACCAATACATATGCAGACTAACAAAATAAAACTATATTCCTATATCATCATTTACAACTTTAGTTCTCATTTGTGCAGGAGGCCAATATTGATTGTGACTATGATGAAGAACCAGGGATGTCTAAATTTCCTTGTGCTTCTTATGCTGCCTTATGTCACTTGACACAAAGAATGGGCAAAACATGTCCCACTGTCTCATTAGAAGGTTAAAATTTTCATGTAGTAGGCTGATCTGCCATTTCAAGAGTTGTTTTGTGCACTGTGCCCTGGAAAAATGCATAGTTAAATGGCAGTAACTTACTAGGAAATCACCATGTGTTTTACTTTTTATTACTCTGGTATGGCAGATTAAATTTCCAAAATGTGGGTTTGTAGAGATAAGACATGCACAGCTTTATTTTTTTTGTATTTAAAATGTTCATCCATGATTTTTAAGTAAGAGCTGTCTCAGCTGAAGCATGAAGGGAATTGCACAGTCCAGCCAACGGCATGTTTAAAACCCCAGCAGTGAGGGATATGAAGGGTATTGTTTTAAGTGATTGACCTTTTGATGTACTTGTCAAATTGCATTGTGTAGTCACACTGGCTGTCATAAAAAAAGCATACAGGTGTATGAGCAGGAGAAAGTGAGACTAGAGTAACACCAAGGGCATCAGGCTACCTCAGGCAAAAATGCCAGTGCAGAAATTCTATGCTTATGCAATACCTGCAGTGCTTAAAGATGTAATTTTACTTTGAGAGTTTCTGGTTTGTAAAGGCTTAAATGATATCCCCTTTATTTAACATTTCATTCTAAATGACAGCACAGTTTAAAAAAAAGGGTCTTAATCTGGAGTAGGCAATAAAAACATTTTATTTTGCCTAATTTAGTGGTTACTAATAGTTTAACTCCTAATGCAGTGACTGCACATGTGACAGTAATGTGATTTGGGTTTTTCCAGGTGCAGTAGTTGGTCTGGGGCAAGGAATATCTTGATTTTTTTGCATCTACCTCTCTTTTTAGCACATGTTTATTAGTTGGTTATTCTCTTTGGTTGTAACACATAATCCATACAGTTGAATTTTAAGTCTGAAAAGAGATCAAGTAGCTACAATTTCCTCATTCTTTGAAATTCAATGTTATCTATCAAATACAATCTGTAGTCTGATATAAAACTGCAATTTTATATCTTGAATTCTGCAATTTGTATTTAAGATAGTTTGGGCATTTGCACATTTAGTACTTCACAACAGAGAGGCCATTCTTCCTGTTGCTCAGGACTGCAACCCAGGTCTCAGTATAAGGTTTTTATTTGAAGTAAAACAAGACAAAAATCTACAAAGTTTGTCCTTGTCTTTAATCAGGAAGTTGGGATACTATAATTCTTATTCATTATGGATTGGGAGCAGGTGGTCTCACAGGTCCTATTCCAAACAGTTCTGTTTATGACAGAAGAGCTGGCAAGCTGGAATCTATAATCTTTCTTGCCTGTTCCTGCATTTATGCTCCTTCCCCACCCCTTAAAAGTCTTCCTAAATCTTTGCGAAGCTTTTTCAGGGTGGGTGTAGCAATGGGTGACCGAAGGACTTGCAGAGAGAGTGTGAAAGTAATCTGTGGTCATTGACATTAAGACCTCCAAGATATGTTTGGTACAAGATGGTTGGGGCCAGTTCCTGAGGTTGCTTAGTTTATGTTATATTCTCACCTTCTGATTGCGCTGGAGTTAACCTGGAGCCTAAGCTACACACCAGTGCACACACGTCAGCGTAGCTCTGGGGGTAGTTCCATTTCTGCTCCGACTTTGGCCTCCAGCCCTGTCCTGATCTGTGTTGCTGGCAGGCATATACCTAGCCTGGCACCCTGCAGCTTCTGTTCACTGGATTTCATGAATTGCACTTGGACTTGACCTGCCATCTCACATTTACCTGGTGATTGCTGGGACTGTCAATAGCTGTTACTGTCACCAGGCTGCCCTGCTTGGGTACTGTGCCCTGGCTGGCAAGTTCACTGTCCTGTGATGTGCTCTCCTCAGCTTTTTGCTGTCATCCCTTCCAGAGCAGCCTATCTTGCTGCTTCATGGCAGGGGGGGCCTAAGCTGACTGTCATGGAGTCTGGCCTTCAGGGTCCTCAGCAGCAGCAGCTTAACCTCAAGTTCCCACCGGGAGCTGTGGTCACCATGTAGCATTGTGGCACAGCATTGCAGGCTGCTTCAAGACCTCTTGCTTCCCATCTTGAGAATCCTGATCTAGTAAAAGATGTCCCTACCCATGGCCAGAGAGCTGGACTAAATGATCTTTAAAGGTCCTTTCCAACCCAATTGGACTAAATGATCTTTGAAGGTCCTTTCCAACCCAAACCATTCTATGCTTCTCTGGTCTTCCAGAGTCATTCAGTTGGGACTGCACAGTTGTGCTAGGATTTATTAGATGTGGCTTATTTTTCCAGCCTATCCAGGTGCTGTATATACCCAGGGACATTAGATGCTCAGCAGCAGCAATCTCCTAGGCAATCTGCGAGTGGATTGTGACCATGTGGAAGACAATGGCTCTGTGGTCCAAAACCAGATGACTTACTGCTTTGGAGCAGTTTTTGGATGAACCATATCTGTGCAGTGGCCAAGCACACTGGAGTGCTGGAGCTCCATCAGGGAAAGTAGTTGGCCGCCCACTAAATACACAAATCAGTTATCTGTGGAAACAAGATGTGAAGAGCAAGCCTCTTATGGCACTCTAAAGTACATGTCTGTGACCCTCAAAATGAGATGTTTAGGACTGGCCTACCCCAGAGCCTGGAGCAGTCTGTCAGGCTGGCCTGTCATTGCAGAAGCACCTGGCTCTGTCAGGAAAAGCATATGCAGACCTTTGGAGGAGTTCCACCATGTTTTGCTCCACCTTCCATACTATCCCCACAGGAGCAGCTTGTGGACATAGGCACCATCCACCTCACTCATCCTGAGAATGAGAACACAGATGGAGAAAAGATGGTTGCTTTGCTGAGTTAGTTGCACCTACTTTGACAGTCATTTGGTGCAGGTATGTGTGAGGTGTCTGGTGTGGGTGTCAGACCTTTGAGTTGCAAACCGAAGTTAGTGACAGTTAATGGACAACTGAAGTGTGGAGAGAGGGAAGTCTAGCAGACAAGGTGGGGAGAGAATCAACTAATCCTTCAGTTGTATTCCAGCTTCTCGTGGTAGGTCAGCACCACTGCTGGTCCTTCTGTTACCTCAAGAGTGCGCTGCCACTCCTCAGGTAGCTTGGATTTTCAGGTGCTGTTTGTCTCAGATGTCATAATTTCTCCTAGTGGGAGTGATCTGCCTGGAGGAAAAGACATAGGGTCCCGGCTCCTGCTTTGGGACAGATTCTGGGAGAGTGTGGCCCCTATGGCCCAGAGGCACCTGCTTCCATAAGGGAATGTCAGCTAACACTGCCATGGGATGGTAAGGCAGGCTGTAGTGAATGCCTGTTTCAGTTCCTCAGGTGCTGCATGTGCTTGTCATGCCCATGGGAAATGAGGCCCCTTCCATGTAGGTGCTGTTATAAGAGCCATGATACTGGAAAACCCTGATATGAATCATCAAAAGAAGTTGGCAAATTGTAAGAAACTCTGCACTTCCTCCATGCTAGAAAGGAATGAGTGAAAACTGCTTTCCAAACCAGATACAGATAGTATGAGGATCTTGAGATACCATTTGGTCTCTCCTGTGCTCTGACCATCTTCCATTGTTTTGTACATAATGTGCTGCACCGTCTGCTTAGCACCTGTATTCTTGGCATCTTCATGTTCTCCGTTGTTCAACAGGCACACAGACTATGCCAGGAAAGTCCTGAGTCACTTGCAGCAGTGGTGACTCCGTGTCAAATTCCACATATCACTCTTTTCAACAGCACAGGGTGGAGTTCCTGGGATACCTGGTGGACCCCAAATGGGGTGGCACGTTGATCCCAGATAGGTTAGTCACCTTAAGCTGACAGGCTCCTGTGAAGGGACAGAAAACCCCATACCTCTTTTTGATAAAAAATATGGAATAGTGGCAGTGGAGGTAGAGTGGCAGATCAGCCCATATATCAGATCATCCTTGAGATGCTTCTTGAGGACTACTGATTTGGATCATAACACAGCCTAGATGTTCCCAAAAGGCACCAAAGGAGACGGTGGGCCGGGGATGTCACTCTGGGTGCAGAGGAGGTTAGAGGAGCCTACAGATCTGCCTCTGCATACTGATCAAAACTCCTGCAGGGTTTGGAGTTGAAACAGAAACTGCAGGGTGGTCATGAGGTCAAGTCTTACGACATGTAGCTGCAAGGAGTCTGTGGGGGCAAGCCCTGGCTTAGTCTGAAGGCCAGGCTCCATGGTACTCAGGGCTTCAGAAGACATCAGCTAACTTTTAGGGAGCAGCAAGAGCAAGTTTTCCATAGCAGAGAGCAAGGCAGGAGTCAAGGATGGCCACAGTGAAAGCTGTGCGAGGATCTTGCTGAGAAGGTGAATCCTGCTGCCCCTGAACCAGGCAATTAGAAAGAGTGGCATCAAGAGGTCTTATCAACAGTTTCATGACCATCAGGCAGAAACAAGTTGCTGTGTCTGGTCCAGATTCAAATCAGGAAAGCCAAACAGCTCAAGGACAGGACTAGAAAGAGGTACACCTACGGCAACACAGCTTACACAGAGACTGAAGGTCTGGCCTGAGCATAAATGGAGCCCCTGCACCCAGGAGCAGAGGGTTGGATGGAGGCCCCACGTGGGGCCAGTCAGCACCGGGAAGGTCTGTTGATGTAATTGCTGCTGGCCTTTGGGAGACTGTCACTGCCATCAACCTGCTTGGGAGCAGTGGAGTTGTGCCCCATCTGGTGAAGTCACTGCCCCATGTCCTAGAATAACCCTCAGCTCCTGACTTATGGGACTTTGTGGAGAATCCTCACTCTTGTGGCCCCCTGACAGCTGAGGCACTTCTTGAGTGAGTTGTGGTTTCTTTGTGTTATTCAAATGATTTCCATCATTTTTTCCCTTTGAAATTCATGTAAGTATTTACATTCATAAACCCAACTACAAAGACTTTCACA